GGATTCAATTGATTCCCATAAGGCCATGACAAAGCTTTGGGTAAGAAATGAATGGAATTTTACATCAATTCATCATTCTAAAAGATTGGTATCAATATTTAGGTTCTGGGATTCATGATTCTACCACCATCTCAGTAAACCACAGTCATTAAAAACTCTCCTTTTGAAGAGTTAGCAGGCACAGGACTGGTATCCGATGTAAGTTACCACCATTTCCCCAGGAAGTTGTTTTTTTTTCCCCCAAATGCGTAAAGTACAAAGCATGAAACGCGTTTCTTTGTTTGAGAGTGGCCTGGCTCGGAGGTTTCCTTGTGACATATTTGGCGTGAGTCTTTGTTTAATAACAAAATATGCACATCCCATAAAACAAACACTTCAAGAGTGAGACCACTGTTTCCTACAACACCTTTCAAACCCCAACAAGGATGAATTTAACTGTAACCTTCAAGAAATGATCTTTCCCTCACAGGAACTTCCCCTTCTCCCCCAAATTTATAGAAAATAAGCCTTCATGGTAAAAGAGAAGTAAAAGCTCTGCTTGGAAATAAAAAAAAAGTTTCATTAGGAATAGAACTTTTGCAGGGCAGGGGACCCATCATGCTCTTTGGAGACCACAGAATGTTTTTCCTTCTCCAGAAACCATTACCACTAGCACACCTATGGTGAGGTACAAAGAGGCTTTCTGACCTACTCCAATGGCATTGGCAATTCTCCCTAATTACTTAAGAATAGAGAATTAAATCACTTGAGAACCACAGAGTGGCTGCAAAACAGAACCTATGAGATATCCTGCTAGCATGTTCAAAGACATCAAAAGTCATCCTATATCAGTCCCAGTTGATGACCTGGTAACAATAAAGAACAATTTAGATTTTTCTAAATATGCTATGACCTAAAATATTGGAGTGAAACCCTCATAGCAGATCCCAAAAAACTAAATCAAAAATCTTTCTTCCAACATGGTGGATCCTCTGTGTTTTTTCCCCACATCTAGAAATCCATGTTCTGAGATTAAGCAGAACTACAAAAGAATGATCAGATCTCCAGAAAACCACCCAGCAGCCATTAGGAATGAAATACCTAACAGCAAACTTACATTTTTTTCTTTAAGATTTATTTTTATTTATGTAACAGCTGGGGTATAGGCCGGAGGCACGGGAGGGTAAGAGAACTCACCAGAGACAGAGCGGGGAGCAGAACAGGCAGATGGACCAAAAACACTGCTGAGGGGACCAGCGGGTGAGACTGGGGAGGTCTGATGCACCATGTGGGTATCTCCCTGGCTGGCTGGGAATCGAACCCATGCTGCAGAGGCTGCGGACAGCTCCACCGCGCTGCGCTCAATCTGCTGCGCCACGGGGGAGGCCCACAGACTTACACTTTAATGTGAAAAAGAAAGAACTCTAATTCTGATTCCATAAAGCAGCTCTTCTAAATGGCATTCATTATTATGAGCGACCCATCGATGTAGGTCAGATTTCAGTAAAGAGCACTAGCTTCCATCTTAGGGAAACATTTCACATAGTTCTAAATCCCTGTGCCCAGCAAATTCTGAGAAGATAGAAGGCAGACAACTATAGAAGTGTCCCTTCAGGAATCCACTTTCCATCTGTAGGTTATTTGGCCGTTGTATATAGTATTTCATGAGACCCTCGCCAGACAAATCTGCAACGTCAGCAGGACATATATTAGCTCCATCTTTCAAGTGAAGAAATAGTGACTCTAAGGTGAAATGACTCACTTGCCCAAGGTCACAAGTCAGGCAGTTAATTAGTAGCCCAACCAGGAGGTGAGACTAGCCTACCCTCTGACTTACAGCTCTGAGATTACCAGGACACCTCCCAACTTCCGTATGTTTGATGAGGAGCAGCAGAAGAATGCAATGGTTAAGAGCCCAGATTCCGGCACCCAGACCTGCAGTTCATCTCAGCCCCACCCACATTAGCTACCTGATCTTGTATTGGTTCCTTAACCTCTCCCAGAAACCTCAGTTTCCTCACCTATAAAATAGGAATAGAAAGTCTTACCTCATAAAGTTATAATGACAATGATACACATGAATTTCACAGACTTAAATTCATTCACTCAAAAAATATTTGTGCCAGGCACACACATGGAAGAATTCCAATAATGATCAAGAGGTAAACTCCTGCTATGATGGAGTTTAAAATTTAGCTAAACTAAAATTTAAAAAGCAAACAAGTTTTAAAAATACTTACAAAGTGTGACTAAGTGCTTTCAAGGTAACAGGTCAGTGACTGGAGAGATTAAAAGAAGTGAACCAATTTTTAAGAATGGTCTCTGAGGTGAAATTTAATTTGAGTCGGAAGAGATCCAAAAGCGCTATCATGTGAGGAATGGCAGGAAAAGCATTCCAGGCACAGGGAGCAGGACATATGAGGGTCATAGCACTGGGGAGAGTAGGAACACAAATGTGACTACCGTGTAACCTCACAGGATTTGGGGAACAACCTTTGCAAGCTGGTTGCCCAGGATTATCACATTTATTTTAAAAATAACAAAGATGAGCCTCAGGAGGGTGCTGTGTCTTGCCCAAGGTCACAGCTACTCAAAGAAGGAGCTAGAACCCCAGTAGTTCACCTTTTGACATAACATCTGCTCACTCCCTTTGAGGAGTCTTGTATACACTAACCTCCCTCCACTTATTTCCCTCACAATTGTTTTCTGTGCCCAGGAGGAGTTCCAAAAGCACCTTGAAAGCACCAGCAACAGCATCCTATCGACTCCAGGCATCTAGCCAAATGTGCACCGAAATCCTTCCCTTTGTACTTTTATGACACAAGAGCAAAAACTGCTCAGACCTTACTCAGAGGGTACAAAATAGAAGTTCTTCTTCTTACAGTAATGAACAAGAGAAGGAAAGTAATGCCCAGGAAGATCCCGTGGCCTGTCCCAGAAGTCCAATAGAACCACCATCACAGAAGAGTAGAAACAGGAAGATTCAGCTGAATGAATTGCACAGGAAAAACTAATCAGTAGAATAAAAGAACGAATCCCCAAATTAGTGTTTCTCAATGAAGGTGAAACCCATTCACCCACCAAGAACATCTGGAAATTCATGGGGACATATAGTGGGCAGGCCCAGGTATGCTCAACGTCTTAAAAAAGGACAGGATGAGCCTACAAAAAAATGTATTTATTACTCAAAGTACTAATTGCAGCCCACCCTTCCCACACACACACATATACACTTGAGATACCTTTCCCTAGAGAATGAATATGCTTCGATGTTTCTTGTAGTCTCCTGGTTCAGAGGCGCTCTCTGACCTCACTACAATTGGTTGCAAAAAAGAAAAGCTAATGCTTCACAGCTGAAGAGTCTGAAATTTTGGAATCCGATGGAAGCTGATAGCAGTTACCATGGAACCCAACAGAACAATGCTGAAGAAGTTTCTAGTAAGAGACAGACTTAAGAGATTTTAGCAAAAAGAGAACCCCTCCCCAGACTATGAATTGTATTTGTTTTGCAACAAAAAATTCTGTGATTTTAAAGAACCTTCTTACAGTGCCTTTCAGTTTACAATTCATACTTATGACATTTCTTTTTGAAAAACTTAACCAAATCATCTCAGAAATGATTTTTACTCTTGCTGGAATAAATTTTATAAGAAAGATTATTAATTTCAAGATGTCTGAAGCGGACCAAATACCTAAAAATGCCAGAGGCAGTTAAGCTTGCATCTCATTCAGGCCAGTTTCACACAGGTCAAAGACGCTCCAAAGGATATCTGGAGTTCTCTTCAGGGATTAGCATACCATCCTTGCAATTCAAAAACCTCTTCCAAGTGCTATTCTAAATTAGAATTGGAAAAAAAAAAAAAATCCAGACCACTTCCAGAAATAAAGAGATCTAAAAAGCCTTACTCTATTTCAAAATAGCTGGAACAGGAATCCACTACATGCATAAATCCTCCATAAGCAATCTTTCCTCTGCACAAAATAGCTAAAATTTCTCAACTCTCTGTAAAGGACTCTGAATATGTTAACTTCTTCAACTTGCCAACCAGCAAATAGCGGCCCACACCCCCATCTAAGCAATTTTCTAGAAGCCAAACCTGGCTTCTCAGGTTATTGAGCAGACAAACCTGTTTTCCTCCAGAAGCTCATGCCATTCAGAGTCTGGGAAATCCACCTTCAGCTTTTCACTTCACTGGCCAGTCAGCAGCAGTTCACAAAATTAATTCACCCAGATTTTTTGAATCCTCTCCCCATGTGCCAACAACGTGGCAATAAATTCCTACCCCTGCTACAAATGCAGATTCCCAGAAAGAACAAGAAGTTAACACAGAGAAGAAAAAAGATGGAGGGGCCTGAGAGTCAGTGAGCCAAGCCTGCCGCACGCCTGCAGCAAGGCCACCAAAGCCCTGGTCCTGCAAAGCCTCCCCGGGTGGCTACCTGGCCAGGCACTCCTTTCAGTAGGCCACACCTGTCTGTGCCAGCAGCCTGCCCGCTGCTCCATTTTAAACATTTCAAACAGATCTCCAGCAAGGAGGCAAAACTGGGCACCCCTCTCCAGGCTAGAGGGAAATTCTTAATCCAAAGACATCTAGCCCCCAGTTGTACTTCTTTTCCCACTCAGGTAGACACCTCTCTCTCTTAACGGTGAGACAGGCATAGTGCTGCAGTGACCGAAGGAAGAAGCCTGAGGCCGACTTGCTATGAGCCACACAAGACCTTCTCTGAGGCCGGTGGTGCCAATCAACAGGAATTCAATAGGCGGGTTTCACTCTGCCCATCCACAAGTGAACCAACGCCCGAGTCCCGAGATGCCCGGCTCCACAGTCTCGCAGAAAGCCTCTTTTCTGAAGAGTGGGTATCCCAGTCACCCCTTGGCTTCAGGAACCAAAGAGGAGGCAGACAAACCCAGGTCGCGCACTCCACATCCAAATCTCCGCACGCGCGCGCGCATCTTTGGGGTGCCCCGGCGCGCCCTCCCTTGCGCACCCCCCTCCGAGGCCTCCTTCACCCCGCGGACTCACCACTGTGCGAGCTGAACCACCTGGGTGCGATGTGCAGAGGTAGAGCATCCGCCAGCGAGGCGCGGGAGCCCAGGTACAGCATCCCGTCTCTATGGTGACCGCCGCCGGTCTCCTGGTAACCATTGCCATGGGCATAGGTGGAGTCGGACGAGGACCCTCCACCGCCGGGCGCCCGATCCGAGTCGCTGGTCCCTCGGGAGGCGGAGGTGTAGAGGCCAAAGGGCACCCCTCCGGCCGTGCTGGGGTCCATGCCCATGCCCGCCACCGAGCTGACCGAGCGGCTGCGCAGCCCCATGGCCCCGCCGCCCGCCCGGTAGTGCCCAAAGTGGGGCGCCCCTCCCGGCGGCGGCACGGCGCTGTCATCGGTGGAGACCCCCGGGAAGGGGCCCCGGGAGCGGGCCGCCGTGCTCTGCTTGCCCCCCATGCTCGCCCGAGCCCCGGCGGGGCGGGAGCCTGGAGGCCGAGACCCTCCCCCACTTCTCAGCAGCTGGGGGAGGGCTGGGCGAGCATAAAGCGGTCGGGAGTCACCAAAAAAAAAAAAAAAAAAAAAGGAACCCGGGAGGGGGTAAAAAAAGAAGAGAAAAAGAGAAAAGCAATCCCGCGGAGCGGAAGAGGCCAGCGGGCGGGGATCCCAAACTAAGAATTTCAGGCGATCCAAACCCAACGCATGTTTCCCTCAAGGTCCACAGAAGCGCAGTCCGGCGCGGCGCGGCGCGCCACAGGCCGCCCCCGGGCTCCCGAAAGCCGGGGAGCCGCAGGGAGGAGGGAGGGCGGCGGCGGCGGGCGGCGGGCGGGCGCGGGGAGGCGCCGGAGGAGGCCGCCCGCCCGGCTGGGGGAGGCGCGGGAGGGCTGGGGGCGCCGGGCGCGTCCCCCGCCTCAGGGCTCCGCGATCGGGGACGGCAGCCCGGACGCCTCAGGCCCCGGGCGGGTCGCGGAGCCGGGCGGCCAGACGGAGCTCGGGAAGCCGCGGTCGCGTCGCGTCGCGTCGCGCTGTCGCTCCAGCAGCCGCCGGCCCCGCCAGCCGCGCCGCCCCGCTCGGTCCCGGGCTGCGCTCGCCGGCGCTCCTCGCCGCCGTGGAGACAATGGAGGGCGGCAGAGCGCAGGCGCGGCCCGCGCCCCCTCGGCCTCCCCGCCCCCCCGCCGGCTTAACCCCTTCGCCGCCCCTGCGGCGCGCGGCCGCTGACGCGCGGCGGGTCCCCACCCACCGGGAGGCCTCGGCCGGCCGGTGACCTGAGGAGGCTGAGGCGCGGAGCCCGGCGGCTGTTCAAAATTAGCCCTTTCTGAGTGCCCGGGAGGGGCTGATTATTCGTGGGGGGACGGGAGGAGGAGGACACTCTCTGGGGGGAGGGTCAGCGGAGGCTCGAGATGGTGGGAGGCGAAGTCCCGGAAGAATGAAAATTGCCCTGGACGCCTACCTGGCTCCAAGGGTCACTGGTCAAGCTCCCTTCCCGGCGCAAATTTGCCCCCACAGCACCCCCTGGTGGGCCTGCTGTCCGCTCTTTCGGAGGTCCCCCATCATCTGGAAGCTTAACCTTTGGGGGGTTTAGCATCTGCGGGGTAAACAGTGACTGGGGCACTGCCACTCTGAATTCAGCTGGCAGTCGTGCTGACATGTCCGGATCTTCCTGTTTGGGTCTTAAGCAAATGGGTAGGTTCTTTAGCTAAAATTTGATACTGAAAATCACTAGATGTAAGATAAAAAGTCCTGCATCTAGTGGAATAGTGTCACTGGAAGGGATTTTGGAACCTCCCTAGTGCAAGATGGGACCCCTGTTTTGTTTACCATTTATTCTAACCTGTACCACAGGGTCTGAGACACTGGATGCTCAACAAACATCTGTTGACCCAGTGTACATTTTGCAATATGTCTCTCACATTTTCAGTCAACTAGTTTTCAAGGTCTAAGCCTGGCTATGAGCATCACCCTATTCCTATTCTGAATTCCTTGCCCTCAATATCCCCCAAGGAGCCAAAGGAGAGTGTAGAGAAATCTTAAAATCCAAAAAAGAAGGGCTGGCTTGTCATTGGCACTGACAGTCACAGTGTGACCAGCTTGGAAAGGAACATAAGGCAAGCTATTTGCAAGCATGCACTGTTGTGGGGTGAGTCAAAAAGGAAGTTTAGAGTTCTGTATGCGAAATGAAGGTAGGAAAAAATGAAATGTGCCAATACACAAGCAATTATCTCTAAGTGCAAAGCGACTTGTGCATACCAAAGAACTGTGAAAATTAATATGCAGAAACCCTGCTTAAATGAGGTTGGGGACCTCCCTGGTGGCGCAATGGGTTAAGACACGACCTGTGAAGCTCATCGCAGGCACTGGAGCATGAGTTCAATCCTCGGCTAGGGAGCTACCCAGATGGCTCAGACCTCTCCTGCCTCACCCGCTGCTCCCCTCAGCAGTGTATTTCAGTCGATCTTCCTGTTCTGCTCCCCTCTCTGTCCTTGGTGAATTCTCTTTCCCCTCACAACTCTGGCCTGTACCCCAGTTCTTGTATGTATAAATAAATAAATCTTTAAAAAAAATAAATGAGGGCTGGAGACTAAATGAGAGTTCCTATGCATATGACCATTAAACTATTGGACCCAACATGCCTTGCATCTCCGCCTGGGATTTGAGTTGCTTCCCCATCCCAGCAGAAGAAAGAGGTCTCTTCACCCAACAGCCCCTTCAAGACTACATACAGGGGGCCTCCCCAGTGGTGCAGAGGTTGAGCACTGGGTTGCGAAGCTGCCTGCAGCCTCTGCAGCACAGATCAATCCCCGGCTGCTCCCCGGCCACCAGAGGAGGGTTCCACATGGCGTGCTGACCGCTCCTGCCACCCGCTGCTCCCCTCAGAGTGTACTTCATCGGTCTGCCTGTTCTGTTCCCCGCTCTGGCTCTGGTGAATTCTCTCACCCTCCCGTGCTTCTGACTGTACCCAGTGCTTGTATAAATAAATAAATAAATAAACAAATAAATAAATAAATCTTTAAAAAAAAAAAAGACTGTATCCAGGGGTGCTGGCCTTTGATCAGGAAAATTGCACATGCGCCTTCTGTTGTTTCTGAATTAACTCATATTATTAGTTGAATAGCTGGCAATTTTTTTGTTTGAGGTGAACATATTCAAACAAATATGATGAAAAACAAGACATTTAAATTTAGCCCAACTTCCTCCCCAAAGAAACACTATAATAACAGAAGAGGGGTCATTCAGTATGGTGCAGGAAACAGGTTTCTAGATTCTTCTTGGGTAGACAAACACACAATCAACAAGGACTGTACCCATCTATTTAGCTTTTGACTTACTTGTTAACTGTTTTTTAGTGTATTGAACAAAGTGGGACTATCTAATAAGAGTACCAAGCACTGTACAAGGTTCTGGGAAACTGTGGTTATATAAGTTAGGTGGAGTCCGTGTTCTCATAGATATGCAGTAGAACCACTACAGACTCACCAGTGTGGCCATCATCACAGAGGACAGTAACAAGTGTTAATGAGAAGCATAGAAATCAGAGCTCTTCCACATTGTTGGTGGGAATGTAAAATGGTACAGCTGCTTGAGAACACAGTGTGGTCAGTTACGTCAGTTTGGCTAGAGCTTGGTCCTCACAGAAAACACTCTGCAGTTCCTCAAAAAAAGTAAACATAGTTACATATGACCCAGCAATTCCATTACTAGAGTTATAGCCAAAAGCAATAAAGATATATGTCCACAGAGAAACTGGTACAGGAACGGTCATAGCAGTATTGTTTAAAATAGCTAAAAAATGGAAATGACCCAAATGTCCTTTAACAGGTGTATGGCTGAACCAAATGTGGTATATCCATACCATGGACTGTTTTTCAGTCATGAAAGAAATGGAGAGTTGATACGTAGGAAAACATGGATGAAATTGAAAATATAATACTAAGTAAAAGAAGTCAACCACAAAAGACCACATATTATATGAGTCCATTTCTATGAAAAGTCCAGAATAGGTAAATACACTGAGACAGGAAAGATTAATGATTTCCAGGGCCTGGAGTGGAGAAGAGAATGGAGAGTGACTGCTAATGGGTTTCTTTGATAAAAAATGCTCTGCAATTACATAATGGTGGTGGTTACACAATATTGTGAATATACTAAAAACCATTGAATTGTACACTTAAAAGGACAACTTCTATGGTGTGTGAATTACAGTGCAATGCTATATACATATGCTTTATATATGTATTTATACATATGCTTATATATATCTGAATTTTTATAGCAGACAGTAACAGTGACAGTAACTGTGCTAGATAACCCTAGAACAGTGCCTGGTATGTAGTGGGCACCAACTAGGTTTTGTGAAATGAATGATTAAATGTATGAGAGAGGAAGAGCATAGTGGATGGAAAGACAGGTGGAAATAGGTACAAACAATGATTCTGAGCCTAAAAGATGAGTTGAAGGTAAGCCAGGCAATAGGAATAGGTAGGGGAAGAAGTGTTTCAGGACACGAAGAATGTCCAAGCAAAGGAAATAGTATGTTTGAAGCTCTAGTGAAAACCACATCTTCAAAGAACAGAAAATTGTAGTAGAGCTACATTGGGAGGAGGTAGGAGCCAAAAGGAAACAGGCCTTCAGGAGCAAACAAGAAGGTCATGGTCAATATCCTGAGGAAACGGAGCTGTGGGAAAACATATCAAACTCATTCTTAATACTAAAGACCAATGATTGATGAGCACAATTAAATGAGCAAGATTTAAAGAAATTAAAACACTTGCCCCTTCCCAAATAAAGATCTATATTTTTCTTTGCTTGTATATTCATAAAGATGGAGTCATTAAACAATATAATGAAGTTTCCTGGTTGGGGTGGGGGCAGGAAGAACTGGAGAGGGGTGATGAGAGGTATGAGACTTCATTTCAAGATATTGCTTGTCTTTCAGTGTTGTAATGAGATGGATGGATGAGATAAATGGATAGATGGCAAGGCATATATACAGTATATACCACGTTCATGCTAAGTCACACAGCTAACAGGAGCTGGACTTCTAAACTTCAGAACTTTCTAAACATTCTCTTCAAGAAATCTTTAGACAGCAATTTATGTTTTCTGTGTGCTTTCCAGTGGGGTGAGAAAATTAGATCTGTTTAACAGCTGTGTTTCTTTTTGTAAATTAATAATTAGGCTTTCAGATTTATATTCCAGTCTACTGGATATAAGGTTTATAAGCCAGTCTCTCACATCTGGCACCCCTGACAGCAGAGAGCCTGCACTGCAAAGGAGATGCCTCTACTCTCTCGAACGTGATGACACTAAGCTTAGGTGCCCTCTGGGACCCTGCACAGCAACCTTTCTAGATGATGCCCTTGTTATCTCCTTGTGTGCTTAGGCAAATCACAATTTCACTCTGAAATGAAAATGTGAAAATAGACAGCAGGGAGAGTTCCTCATTCAATAGCTTAATTCTACGCTGTACATCTCAGAGCATCTCAGAGTGACTCACAGCAGAGCAACAGGAGGTAGAAAGACCCGAGGCTGAAGAATAGCTCATTTTGTTCCATCAAAAGTCCTATGTGTTTTGTTTCAAGTTTCTTTTGTGGGTCCTTGGTCTAAAGCTATTGGGTCTGGAGAGAGGTCTGGTCATTTGGACATTCTCACTTCAAGGATCTGAGATGCAGAAATGGCATTAGTTACATTTGGAAACTCTATCTTATTTATTTTTTGTCTTCATGCTCTTAGTGACTCTGGGTGAGCTGCTTCCTCGCTCTTCTTCAACTGTGAAACAAG